TTAATCAATACTTTGGAAGTTGTAATTAGCTTATGTTTATACAGCACTCTGAGGATGTAAACTGCTACGTGACAGCTAATGATGAGGCTTAAGCAGCATTCATCAGCTTTGTGTGAATTCACAAACAAACAAGTAGCTCTTGAAAGTATTAGTACAGATCGCTATTAAATATCTCATTCCATTCATTTTAAGAGATTGCCCATGAACCTTCTGAAACATGCAATTTACATGTACAATACCAGCTTTTAAGAAATCTAGCGGTACTGCAATTCTATCATAGCTTTCATTGTTACCGTTTCTGTTGAAATTATTTATCCTATTTACACATAGGGAACTACAGCATTTACTTAATACTGAAAATAAGTATCAATTCATTTGAAAAAGTGGCTTCAAATGGGCACCTCAGCCTGTACTGCTTTTTGAATTATAATTCACTATGTCATTCTTTTTATTTAAAGAACAATAACTTAAAGACTTAATGTTCATTGGTACAATCTGGAACTTGTCCCAGACAGGATGGTACAATCTATGAGTAAAACTGAAGATCATTGACGATCTAGATCTGCAAACGAGGGACTGTATTTTCTGTAATTTTCTTGCAGCTTTTATTCATTAAAATCGAATCAAGACCATATAAAAGGAGAGAGGCAATAAGATATTGAATCAAATTAAACATTTATTCTACTGGTGAAGAGTAGCAGGCTTTTTCTCAAATATCTCAATGCAAAAGAAGAAAGGAAACAATACTGTACAAAGACTTCCAAAACTAACACTGAACAAAGCACTGAAAAGAAAAATACAGTGAAGGGAAAGCTTTCATTGCATGGAAATGCATTAAAGTGATATAATTAACAATTAAGCTTACAAATGTCTGTGACTTAATAAATTCCTAGTTTGAAGCACCTGCTGATTTAAGGAGACAAACCCATAACTTATTTTTCACTGCACAAAAATAAGCATATATTCCCATTACACACAAACTTTCAATACTTGTCTGTAATTTCAAAAATCATATTTACAATTGTGATAACATTCCCACGTTAGAATTAAAAAAGTCAATGAAAGGCAGTAAAAATACAGAATACAGAGAAAGATTAAGAGAATTATTGTAACTTCACAAACTCTGAAGTTGCAGCTTTCATTTTGTCTACGTGAACCTTAAAAATGTTTCTCTAAAAAGAGCTGCAAAGTATACCAGCAATTTAAGAGCATGATAGATTGATTCAGCCTCATTAAAACAGGCATTTCTTAATTGGTCGTTCTGAGAAAAATTATTCTGCTATATTAAAAGTAAGCAATTGTATAGTTGAAACTGTTGTTTCATTTAATAAACCCTTAACTTGAGAAACACTCCCACTTGCTAGCTCACTGTATATGCAATTCAACAAAACAAATTTGTTAGTCTTCTGTGTCAGTAGGAAAGGGCAACGGTGAAGGCTGGTATATTTTTATTGTGCGATTAAAACGTGTCCTACATAAATTTCAGTTCTACAGGGGAACACTCCCATCCTGCTTTCAGAAATCAAACTCTCTAATTATATGGTCTTGGGAATCTTTTGTGATCACTGCAGCAAAGGAGGTAACACAGGGCAGTTCCAAGTAACTGTCCTTTCACTAGGAATCACTTAGGAAAGTGCTCTCTGGGCAACACTTCTCAGACAAGCACAGGTACTGTAAAATAAGTAACCTTTTATTTATTGTTCATTTGCTATAATTGTTTTACATTATGAGTGTCAGTGGGAAAGAATCCACTGCATCTAAAAGTTGAAGGGAAGAAACAGGCACATGTCATCCTGGATCCCTGTTTGCTGAAGAAGGGAATCCTGGCTGTTGTGACTATACCTGTGGCTGGAGTCTGGCCAGTGAAAGGAGATCTGAAGAAGTCAAAGCATGGAAGATCATTTGATCAACACAACCCTCTTCCAAGACACAGTGAAGTCAGAGACGAGCAGTACAAGAATTCAAATGTAAATGATTACTTCACACTGAATACATTAGTCTGCTGTGTATCAGCAAAACCGTGGCACTAGCAACAAACCAAAGTAGTCTATGGATTTAATTTTTTTTTTTAGTGGAAGAATATGAAGTTGCTTCTTGTCACAGTTCTACTGGAATCTACTGAGTAAATTACAGATTGAAACCTAGGTGAACCAGGTTATGTTTACAACTGCTGTCAATTTGCTGAGCAGCTCCAGGTAATTCACATCATGCACTGTCTCTCACTTTCCCCATTTCTAGGAAAATATATACGATTAGTTTCCTGCACTCATCATAGCGCTTTAACACAAACTGATGGAAAGTCCTGCATAAAAGAAAAATCTTACAAGCTTGTGGATGCAATTCAGTACTGAGATGTAAAAGGATACAAAACCTGCAATTCCAGGTAAGAGGGATTTAAAGGATTTAAATCACTTTGTACCTTCCTGATCTGGGTCTACCAAGAAATAAAGTTGAATCCACCCATACTTATTCAAGCAACTCAAGTGGCAGTAACTTTTCACTGCTTTTCTGTGAGTAGTAGCCCCAACTAGAATCATTACAAGTTCTTGGGCTTGTTTCCTATACTACAATTTGCAAATATGTCGTTGAAAGTATTCCACAGCTTTCCTCCTTACCTCTACCAGAAAAAAAGTCTTTCCCAGCCAGGTCCAGGATTAACAGTTATAGTTTGGGAAAGCATTATTGTCCCTTTCAGTTTGTCTTTAAGAACACAAATTAATTAATTCTTCTCTATATTATATTCTCCAGATGCGCAACCGACACCACATTCTGTCTCTAAGCAGACATCCATTTGCTGAGCTGCTGACATGGACAATGATGTTGTCACAAGATCTGAAGTCTCCAGATTAACTTAAATGATTTTCATTCTGGAGGAATAATCAAACTGCCTAAACACAGGCATTCAGTGCCATCAGTGTCTAGCACCACTATGCCATCCACAGTGGTACAAGATACTGTGTTTAGGCAGCTGAGTCCTAACCTCAGTTTCACTAATGCTGGACATCCAAGCTTGAGCCTGAGTCACCCAATCTTAAGTGCAGGAAAAGGTGCAAAGGTCCTTAAATGTCTCCTCGTACCAGCTTTAACAGAAAAAATGCAACATTTACTGACAGTCTGGACCTCTAGGATGACTTCCGGAACTTCAACCCCAAGTTTCTGTCCTTGCTCCTACTGTTCATTCTCTTTCTGAGACTCTTCTGTCTTTATGCAGTCTATATATTACAGCAACAATTACACCACTAACCTCTTTCCAGCCTCCTCTGAACAGAGTATCCATGTTTTTTTTTTTCCAGATTTATCCTTTTGGAAGGGAGCTTACCTTAACTCCTATCCTATGCAAACTTCAACGGAAGCACTTCTCGTAACTGTTGCTTCACCAGGTTCCCACACAGAACCTCCTTCCACAGCTTCAAGCTCTGTTTTCTGGCCCCAGATGCTACAAGCCCTTGCCTTTTTTCTGACTTTAATTAACAATGTATAAAAAGTTGATTAGTTGTGACTTCTGGTAATAGATTGAGGCCCCAGTTTAGAAGATGAGGACTTGAGGCATCAGCCCCTACCATGTTACATCCTGCTATCATTACCTGCTACAACAGGACATTATGTGAGAAAAATTGGTCAAACTAAAGAGCACTAGAAGCTTTCTCCTTTAGAAATTAAACATGGACAGTAGCAATGCAAGCTTCCCTTGTGTTTGTTACAAACAGAGCTAGGCCTAGAATGGTCAAAGTAGTCTTCTTGGCAAGCTAGTTAAGTCACCAACTTATCTGTTGAAGCAATCAGTAAATTCTAATTTTTTGTAACAGACTTTCAGGATATGGATATACAATCACGCTACAGGAGACTTACTAGTTTGTGACAGCTTAAAGACAGAAAATCTAAGGTTTGATATAATTCACACTGACACCAACATTTTCTTTTTTTTCCCTCCATGGACCCCAACGTTACCAGGAGGCTTTTCTACCTTATTTTGTATACAATTAAAACTAGCCTTAATTAACGCTTCGTCCCTTTGAGAGATTAAGATCTTAACACAAAAAGTTAGATGATACAAAAATGCGTACAGGTTTTGTTATGATCCGTGTTCATCCTATAGATTTTTTTTTTAGAATGCCTTGATTTACTGACCCTGTAAAATGAGGACTTTGATAAAGAATATCATTATGATGTTCAGCATACTGAATAGTACACAATTTGTAGCATTAAGAGGTATTACACAGAACAGAATCTACACAAGCCTTGCCATGAAATGGAAAGATGAACACTACTGACATTGAGGAGAGGATGGGGAGGCACAGACTTTTGCGAAGTAGTGAAATAGGACTAGCCAAAGATAATTTTTATGCACATGAAAACAGAAGAGATGGGAGGGTAGCCTAATTAACTGCACGGAGGGAAAGGAAGTGAAAAATAGGTACATGCAATGAGCTTCTGTTGTGAACAATACACTAAGTGCCAAGTGTACACAGACAAAACACTACTTTCTAGTTCTTAATGTCAAAAAAAATCTTACTCATCTACAGCTTGGAAGGAAAATCCAAAAAGGAAAAAATCAATTATTGTCTTTTTAAAAATTGCCTTTTTAAACAAAAATGTATGGCTATTTGGGCCACAGTGTAATCAGAAGCTCCTCAAAACAAACTGCCACTCAATCACTGCCAAATTCTGATAATCCCAAACAGTGTATCACAGAGGAGATGCAGCTATTAAAGAAGTATGTTGAAAGTTACTTCAATAATAGTGCTGTACAGTACATGGTTCTAGCAAAGACATTCAGCTATACTACCCCTCAGTGAGTTATAAGCTCAAAGTTCTGACTGGTGTCTGTTGTAACTTTAACTAGTATGACAGACAACTGATACCAAAATGTATGAAATCAAACTGATTTAAGTAAGCCCTAGCACACAGTTTTTAAAAGTGGGGGAGAAAAAAAAAGCCAAAATGAGAACAAACCCAGTACAATTCTAACTATCAAAAGTTGCGTGAATAGTTCAACTTACTCTTTTACTGAGGCAGATAACTGGCCACATACTACAACCTAAAGTGCAGCAGCAGCAAAGGCATCCACATAGTAGCCATCGTACATTAACTGGAAGGTTCTTCTTAAGACAACTGTTAACTCTACTGATGCTGGCTTTAAATTCTTCAGGTGCAACCTACAAGGGGGAAGAAAAAACCAAACAAAAAACAAACTAGTACCACAGCAGTGCTATTTATTACTCTTACAATGCTCTACACCTGGAAGTCTTGTTTTTGTAATAAAATCTTAATTCTAATTCCAAATTCCTATTCACAGATACTCACCTTTCCAGTTAAAGATGAAGGAAATTCTGCTTCAAATTTGTTGCTTAGTCCAAACCTGCAAAAACAAAATGAAGATCATACCAAAATTATAAATAACCCCAATCCATGCCACAAGTTACAAGCACCTCATAATACTCTCAGGGTTCGTATCACAACAGCATTAATTTCAGGAAAAAATAGTTGTTATTAAAAGTAATTCCTAAAATTATCCTAACAGACAAAAGTACACCATTGCACGCAGTTTGAAATCCATCTTGCCTACAGTCTCTTCTTAAAGTTCTGTTGACACTGTTGACTATTCCCCAGACTCAGCAAAATTTCTTATAAGCAATAGTGGCAAGTGTGAAAAGTGAAGAGAAGTACTTAAGGGGGTAGGGGAAGTAAGTTAAAGCCACAGTTTGAATTACCCCCCTCCTCCACCAGTACAGATGTATCTTGAAGAAAAGCTCATCCAGTGCTATTCCACTCAGGCCATGCTAAATAACTGTTCTAAGCATAAAAAATGGAATCAATACCAGCTTCATACATTCAGAAAAGAATACACTAATAAGTTTCAGAACACAAAATACTATCTAACAAAATATGATCTAAATGGTAACTAATTTGAAAGAAACATACCAATTGTGAATGTAAAGCTATGAAGCAGTTTGAGATGAGCTGGATTTACTGACTATTCTGGGTTTTAGAAGATCTAAAGATTAGAAGAGTTTCACCTTGTCTATTAAAAAAAATTGTTTTCTATCTTACAGTTGGCTGGTTGGGTTCATGAATGGATGAACCTCAAAGAAAATGTGAATATTTTCTCGCATCTGGTCTGGGCAATAACTTCTAATAGGGACTATACAGTCTAACAAAGTCATTAATAAAACCGTATGACTGGTTACTAATTTGGTAAAAGGCAGTCAGTGTAAAATTCAAGTTGTCATTAATAACCCTCTGAATATAAACCAAAGCAGTCTTAAACAACACAAATCAGAAATTAAACTGCTCAAGACTTGAATATTAGCAGCAAGACCTATCACACATTGCTCAGTTGTATGCAGAGAAGCTTACCGGAGCCTTGACAGTTGAAGATTTTAAAGACCTAATTTGCTTTGACAATATGTTTATTGAGCAGCTAGGTATTTCTCAGGGTTTTAGTTTTGTTTTGGGTTTTTTTTTACTGAACTGAATGATCTGCATGCCAATGGAGAACTTTGTCCAAGTAATCAAATGGGCAGTTAAGTGCTGTACCAATGGTGAGGTACTGTGGAAGGGCCTCAAAAAACTCAGTGGACAAAAGGTAACAGATGAGCTTCTGCGTAAATAAAAGGTGGTGAATCTTGGGAAAGTTAAACTATGCTTATGCGACACTCAACTAAAGTTTGGCAGCTACAGCTCACAAGAGAGATCTTCTATCACCACTCATGATCCTCTTAAACATCAGCTCAATGCAAGCAGCAGCCGCCAGAAATAGCAATAAAATACCGGCCACCACTAGGAAGGTGATTAAGAACACAGAGGGCATAATTTTGACTCTCCATAAAACCCTCATATACCCACACATTCAGTACTGGGTGCGGTTCTGGCATCCACATTTCATGGAGGACTTGGTGGAGTTAAGAGAAAGCAGAGAGAAGGAAGACTAATATAATTAAGGGAATAAAGCAGCTGCCCTAGGAGACTAACAAGGCTGACACTAACTTGGAAAAGAGAAGGCTGAGGGGGGTATATGATCAAAGTGCAAAGATCAGGAAGGCAATGGATAAGGTGAATGATTAACTGTTAATCGCCAAATCCCACAACAGAGGGCACTCACTGAAACTAGTCGGAGATTGGTTTAAAACAGATAAAAGAAAGTGCTTCTTTAAGCTGCAAGGAGCAAAATTCTGGGTTTGTTTCCACTTGAGATTAGTGACGCAGACTGTGCCAACAGATTTGAAGAGAGGTTACACGTTTCCTCACAAACGGACACTAAAGGAAAGGTGATGTTGAAGTATACATCACCTCACACAACTGCAGATGCCAGAGAGTACAAGGAGAATGGACACCAGGAACAGCTAGACTTGCATGCAACCCATAAGTAGCAAGGCCTGTTGCCAGAGTTTGCAACAGCACGCTGGGCTAGATAGTTTATGAATTTGACGCCATAGGTGATTTTTACATATGGTCTTAAGGAAAAGTAAACAAGTCATCTCCCTATCGCTGACTGCAGGCAGTAGAATCATAGAAACATAGAATTATTTGGGTTGGAAGGGACCGTCAAAGATCATCTAGTCCAACCCCCCTGTCACTAGATCAGGTTGCTCAAAGCCCCATCCAACTGGACCTTGACCACTTCCAATGATGGGGCACCCACAACTTCTCTGGGCAAGCTGTTCCAGTGTCTCACCACCCTCATTGTAAAAAATGTCTTCCTTATATCCAACCTAAATCTACGCTCTTTCTGTTTAAAACCATTGCCCCTTGTCCGCTCACTACAGGTCCTGGTAAAAAGTCTTTCTCCATCTTTCTTACAAGCCTCCTTTATATATTGAAAGGCTACAATAAGGTCTCCCTGGAGACCTTACTTACACTTAAGTTACCTAGCATATTTGAGTATTTGTAATTAGAATAGTAGCTCTGCAACTCCTACAAATCCCTCAAAACTGGTGAAGTAACAAATGAAAATTGTTAACCAGAGAAATGTATGGCAAGTTTTCCACTTCAACACAGAAGACAGAAAATCCCTACTTACTGGAAACATACCTCTACCATTGAAAATCCTGTTGAATATTCCATGACAGAAGGACCATCCACCCTTTCCCCAAAATCTGGAGTGAAACCAACTGCTAAGGCAAAAGTTATGTAAATATCAGGAAGAAGCATCAGGCCCTATCAGTTAAGCTACTTAAAATTGCCAGTAGGTTGAAGTGGAAACCAAAGCCTGAAAAAATCCCTTGGATCCATACACATTTCATAAGCAGCCAAGCCTGAAGAAGGACTCCAAGCTCAAGATACACAGCTGCCATCAGAAGTCTCAAAACTAAAAGGTAACACCACTTTACCATATAATTAATTCATCAACTCAGACAGATGTCTAAAGAGATGACTCTTCAAAGAATGATCTTCATGTACTTCATGCTTCAACGTCCAGAAGAGATTTACTAGGAATAATGGAATTCAATATGAATTTGAGCAATGAGGGAGTAGCCAACTACAAGGATAATTCAGTCCAAAGCAGCTCCTGTTGCAAGAACTAAAATGAAGCTGAGCCCCTGACCAAGAGATGAGACAATTTCAGCTGTCCCTCTACGCAGAATACTAAGGAAGCCCTTTACTTTGAGGCAAGAGCAGGTAAGTCAAAGGCACAGGGAAGTCTCCCTGCTCTCAGTTAAGTCACAAAAAGATGTAATAGCAGGGAAAGCCCTGCTCAGTCTCATGCTGAAGATTGGCTAGGAAATCAGCAGGACAGAAACAAGGCTTTTTTTGTGACTGCATGATCCAAAAGCATTCAAGTGTTGACAGCTTCAAACACAAGCAAATATTCATGGAGATCACAAAAGCTGTGCCTGACAAAGACAACCCTACTGGAAAAGCTATAAAGGTATCTGAATTTACAAAGATGCCGAGGCAGAGTGAGGTACGGAAACTTCTGACCAACACAGTTACACTTCGGTGAAGTTATAAGCAAATGAGACTAAGACTCCTTACTTGAGGCTTGTGGCAACATTTAATACATGGTGGGGTAGCGAAACTGAAACTTCAAAGCTAACTCAACCAGCTACCAACGTCATTCTGAGGTTTCCATACAACAGTTTTGCCACCATACGCGGGTAGTAAAAAAGGGTGACTCCATACCTTAAAAGCTTTGGTAAGTAATTATGTGACCTCAGTATATTCACTCTTGACTGCATGCTGCAACTTGGAAATTAAAAGAAACTCCACAGAACACCACTACACATTCACTGTAAAGACACAAGAGCTCTGACAAAACAGCAGCAAAGAGTGTCTTAAAATCAAACGCTGGAAATCAGGATTTTGGAGATGCATTTCCTCAGACAGCTGTCCTCATATAGCACTAGATTTCTTTTGTACAATACTCGATCTTCAGTGACACATACTCTTCTCTGCTTGCTCCATGTCTTTCCCATTCCACATCACGTCTTCAACAGATCCATGCTCACCTCATGCATGAGTACTTTCTTTAACTTTCCTGGAACCTGAAAAAGTGTTTCTTGAACATGACTCTGATTGAAAGGTTCAGCTGAGTTCCTGCCCTTGTGTACAGCGGAGAAAGAAATGGTGAGAGGTGGAAACTTCAAAGTACAGAAGTTTACAGTATAGGACACAGCCAACCTGCAACCTTTTCTCAGCTTGTAGCTCAGATTTTCCTCACACACGCTATCCTCTTCCTCTTTGTCCTCTCTTACGGGGACACTAAACCGTTTTTTCACTGCTCTCAACCATACTCTTTAGTTCCACATGTTCACAACCCTTACAAAATAAATATATATATTCCACAAATCTTAACACTCTCCATCCATAATTCTCACATAGCCCTGTTTTCACTCGTATGTCCTTGATACAGAGTGAAGTTCAAAAAGATAGAAGCAGACTTAAGTTTAATATTAAAGAAACTGACGTGGGTGAAAATATATTTTGTGAGGTTTTTTCCCCTCCAAACAGTTATCTTGCATCCACACACAATGCACTAAGATGACAAACAGCACAGAAAGGCATTCACTAGCACATCACAACAGCTCTCCATCATAAGCAAAAGACTACACTGCAAAAGACTAATAAATCCAGTATTACTAGCTAATACAGTCGGGTATATATAACGCACATATGCCTCAACTGGTTGAGGAACAGGAAAGCACAAGAAAACAGCCACTGAAAAACACAATCAGACACCTATCATGAATATTCTCTTTGCGATTTCAAACTCATCATGTACCTCTCTTTCCACCCTAATACAATTTTAGAAACAAGTATGAAATACCTTGGACTTTCAAATCAGTTGTAAGTAAAGTTCTATATTTTCTCAGTTTTCAAGTTTCTTGCCATTAGAAGACATCACCTCACGTTATCAGAAACCAGGTCAAATATTACTCCTGACTACCGAGCTATCTAAACTCTGCTGGTGTGAAAACAGTTTAACCGAGTATTTAAAAACCAATGTTTAAAAAAAAAAGTTTTAGAATTGTGTGCAGCATGCTCCAAACAGTGAGTTTAAGAAGAAAACTCTTAGTGCTAACCAAAAGCCCTACACCCCAGAAAGGCAAGGCCTTCATATGTTTTATTTGGATAATATTTACTTGCTTTCCTTTAATTGCTTTTAATTACTCAGCTTAGAAAGGGCTCTCACACACTTCTGTTGTCTGTTGGATGAAATCAAGTAATAGTAAATGTCTTTCTGACATTACTCTGTAGTCATGGAAATGACATATTTCAAACTCAACAGTATGACTCCTATGTAAGATCAGAGAGGATATAACAACAGACTATGAAAAGAGAGCTTCTGTTTAGCTACACACATGGCAGCAGCAGTCAGCAACTCTTTAAACTGCAGAGCCAGGGACAGATCAACCTGGTATTTGCTTAACTGCTGATAATTTTTGTCAGACCTTCAAAACGCATACATGCCTTTATACCAGGCAAGACTAATTCATTATATACATAGGACTTGAACCTATTCCTTAAATCCATCAAGTGAATGTTCTGACCGTGATCTAACGTTTAATAATAAGCTTCTCGATCAATGACAAAAAAAGTTATAGGCTGTACAAAGGTAAAAGTGGCTGATGCTATTTAGCGAACTGTTCACACCTGGCATGATAAAGAGAGTAGATGAAGATCGATTGCCTAATTTTGGAGGTACGTGTTCATATTTCATTGCTCATCCAAAACCTAAAGAACAAATATTTTAAGGAAGATCTTAAAGTAATAACGAGCTAGTGACCATTAATGAACAATTAATGAGAAAATCATCCTTCTTCAACCACAACGCCCTTACTAGTCACAGACACGCTACGCAAGCTTCCTCACAATTCCACTAACGGGCCTTGATCTTGTCTCGCACAACTTACCTTCCAGTATTGGAGAAGAAACCAGTGTTTGCTTCCATTTCGGTTCTTTCTACTTCTGCATTTGCTAGTATGAAAGCTATCTAATTGTGGTTTTGCTCTGTTTACCAGAAACAGGCTAAGGCTACCAGCTTATTTTCAGAGAAGTCATAGGATGGTAACAACTTTTGTTCACAATAAAGAGAGTCATATGCTGAACGCTTCCGCTACATGCTTCTGTTCCTTTATGGGGCCTCCCCAGCCCCCTGCCCATCCACGTCCTTCCAACCCTCCAAACCTCTCTCAGTCTATCAAGTCTTACTTCCGGTTTCCAACCAGACAGCAGACTGCACTGCCCGGCAGTTAGTATTACTTAATGCCAACCAAATATTAAAGCAGTAATGTACCACAGTGCCACAAAATTACTCCAGATTTAACCTTGGATTTCTGGACAGGTCAGTATCTGAAAATCATTAGAGTTCATGGGACTCAGAGCAATAGACCACAATACCTTCAACTTTTATGCTTCTATTGCCAGCCTAGTCCTGATGGACAGTGAATACTAAAAAAAAAGGTTCCACTGCTACGTTTTGTCTCCAGGTTGATATTTCAGCCTCTGAAACTGTACATCATAGCTGACGACAACTACACTTCAATAGAGTGAGCCTGACAGAACTGACTGAAGGAAGATACCCTCATCTGTTACATTATTGGGAAGTACTACACTAACTCATGGTCACTTGCTGCTAGATCATCAGAGATACCAAACATTCACAAAACAAAACTCTCAGTGACTCCCACGTTAAACACAGCGAAACAACACATATCAATCACAATTTAACATGATTTTACATGCGCCTACCTGACTCATGGACGCCTTTTCCTTCTTAAAAGTCCTCAGAGCTATATCAGCGGCCACACATTAAATGGGAGCGGATAACAGATACATAAACAACCCTAAGCAATAGTCCAGCCGGTCATGTGCTGGCACATACCTGTTATACGCAGGAACACGGGCACCAGGCACCTTACTTCCTGACAGCTCATCACTTTGGACAAATACTTCACATTCCTCTGCCAGTCACAGCCCAAGTCAGCCTTGTTTCCTCAGCGCCTCGTTAGAGGTTTGCACCCGCTTGCGAGTCCCAGGCGGCGCCCAGCTGCCCGGCGGGGGCCGAGGAGAGCCCTCTCGCAGTCCCACGGACGTCGGGGGAACGGGGGGGAGGGAAGCAGTACCGGCCCGGCGCTCCTCCCGCCCGCCTACCCGACCTGCCCCAAACTGCAAG